CGTATCCAATTCACCGTGAATTTAGAATGTCTATTGTACACCCCTCTGTCACACCATTCCGCCACTCGCCCCGCACACCTCCATGTGGTCGGCGTGCGCAACGTGCCTCTTCTCCTATTGACGTCTTTTTTCTCTCTCCCTTTTTTTCGTTTTCTTTTTCTCCTTTTCTTTTCTCCTGATGATCTCCCTCTCCTTCCAATCTCCTCTCTTTTCTGTTTTTTTTTCTCTTCCAAATTTTTCTCCTCATAAATAATTTACTTTTAAAATTATCATTGTTTGATGTGTATGCAGTAAGTTTGTTCTTTATTAATGCTTTTCATCTATATAATAAAACTTTCACTAATTGAATAATCAAAATTTCAATATTTGGTCGATGAGGTATAGTAGAATGCACATGCGTCAGCTTATGAAATAGCCATCTGATTAATTTGTGAGGCATATAAAAAAGTAGAGTAAATTTCACAAAACTACAGATACTTGTGTCAAATTATCACAAAACTACAGATTTAAGAATGTGTATCACAAAACTATAGATTTAGCGTTAAACTTTTCACGGAACTACAGATTTAATGCACCATATCACAAAACTACAGATTTAGTGATTAAGTTATCAAAGAACTACATATTCTAGAGTTTAGATCATAGCACTATTATTTATTTAAAGTTATAAAATTTGTAGTTTTGTGATAAAATGTTTTTAAATGTGTAGTTTTGTAATAAAATAGTTGTTAAATCAATAGTTTTGTGATATAATACCTTAAATCTGTAGTTCCATGATAAATTTAACTCTAAATCTATAGTTTTGTGAAATACATTCTTAAATTTGTAGTTTTGTGATAGTTTGATCAAAGTATCTGTAGTTTTGTGAAATTTACTCAAAAAAGTACATAAGGAATTGTTCGTGTAATAAGACATGAAGCAAGCACAACCCGGTTCAATGCTATGTATGTTTTTTACTTTGTTTTGTCATTGTTTTATTTATCTTGTTTCGGTTTGTCATTTAAATTGGTCAAGTTTCTATCAATCACAAAAAAAAATATCTTCATCTGCTGCAACACACAAGTTTTTTGCTAGTACCTATAAAGTTCACCCCCACTAAGTGTAGTTAGTGCTAATTATTTCTTCTCTCATGAAGTTACATCACCTTAATTATTTTTAGCCTTTGAATTATTCATCAAGAGTGTAAATTGTATCTCTTCTCATCAAAAGGCATATAAAATATAACTTTAGATAATTGATCAAGGTACAAAATATATAAAGATAAGGAAAAAATCGTATGGTAATGAAAGTGCATCTAGGCCCTTAATGATTTTGGTGATTAATTACAATGCGATTAGAGAGGACTAACATTTTTATTTTAAGCAAATGTGAAGGTTGTTATGTCCTCAATGAGTTAGCGTAATACATATCCCGCGGAATACGTTGATGTGTGTGATGCGGCAAATGAGCAAATGGTATATTGTACCTTTTTTTCTTTCGTTTGAGTCAATAGGAATGTCGCACTATTAAGAGGGATGATGCATTGACATATGAGGAGTGATCAAAGTGCTCAAAATCAATTTTTAAAAGTGTTTCTCCTCTGTTTGGTGTGTTCTGGAAATTTTCGGAGTTTTCCGAAAGCCATTTTCGGACTTTCCGAAAATGCACAGAACCAATTATCACTTCTGGAAATTTTCGGATATGTCCGAAAGAAATTTTCGGACTTTCCGAAAATGAATGTGAAGGCAAATATGGTTCTGTTTATTTTCGGACTTTTCCGAAATTGATTTTTGGAGTTTCCGAAAAACTTCAGCAAAGTCAAAAATCGCTTCTGTATATTTTCAGACTTGTCCGAAAGCAATTTTTGGACTTTTCCGAAAACATCCAGAACGATGTTTTGTAGTACTGGAAATTTTCGGACTTGTCCGAAAAGTTTTCGGAATGTCTGAAAAATCTTTCGTTGACTTTGCTGTTGGTGCTGAGCTGGAATTTTCGGACATGTCTGAAAATCTTTCAGAATATCCTAAAATCTCAATTATTGTGCATAACGGGCAGAATTTGGGCTGTGGCTATAAATAGCCCCCTCCCCTCACTCGTGAGAGCTGCTAGTTCCATTCCAATCATTTGTGCCCTTGGCTTGCTCTCTCTCTCTCTAGCACTTTTGAGCCTTACTTTCTTGTTTCCCCTCTCACCCGTGTTCGATTTGGATTTGGTGTGTGTGTGAGAGTTGTGGATTTGAGTTTGTGTGAGTGCTTGTTGTTGACTTCGTGAAGATTTGTGAGCACTTGCATCATCTCCGGGAGTTCTTTGCTTCATTTGTTACTCTTGGAGGTTGAGGACTCCGCGGCTAGGTGTCGCTCCCGAGCCACCGATCTACTTGTGGTTGGCCGGGAGAAGTTTGTGAAGGTCGGATCTCACCTCCGAAAGAGAAGAGATACCCTTAGTGGAAGGAGGAGTGCTTAGTGCAACCTCTTGAGGAAAGGGTTAGCTAAGACCTGGCTCTTAGTGAGCTCCTCAACGGAGAGTAGAATCCCCTTAAGGATTCGAACTTCGGGAACAACTTCGTGAGCTTCATCTTTGGTGACTTTACTTCCTCCCTCTCCACTAGCTTTGCTTGTTTGAGCCGCTATAGGTCTAGTTGCTGTTTGTGCTAGCATATTCTTGTTGTAGGCAACTAGATCTAGGATTTACTTTGCTATTTGTGCTGACTCCAAAAATTTTCAGATATATCCGAAATTTTCGGAAATATCCGAAAATTACTGCTTCCGCTTTTAATTGATTTTTTTTGAATTAGCCTATTCACCCCCCCTCTAGGCCTAATTGACACTTTCAGGTAAGTAAGTAAAAAAATACAACTTATATATATAATTATATATATATATATATATATATATATATATATAATTTTATCATATAATTCTCCTGCAGCAACGTGAGAGATAACCATCTAGTTTTATAGTAGAAGTGGATGCTACCTATAATTTTGTCCATGCCACCTACTCATAAATTTATAGGTGATTTATACAATACATCACCTCTATACTAACTCTAATACACTAGTACTAATATTTATTTGTCCAAACTACTATTCATATCCCTCGTTTTTATCTTGAAATTTGTATAGAGATTGTCTCTTACATGAGTGGTGGTCGTCTTACATGAGTGGTGGTCGTCAGTTGCCTTCTCCTTTCTTCACTCATCTACATTATTATATTAGCTTGTGTGGTATCTCTGGATACCACCTTTAAGTCTTTGTAGCACTTGCTTTTATATTATTAGATGTTTTAATCAGATTTGTAGAAAAATACAATAATATTTTCAATACGAAACAAACATACTATAGAAATATATTTAATATGTATTTAATAAAAATGGTGTTATAGGTGTTACTATATTTTTCTAGAAACTAGTTAACATCATAATATGTGACGGATGGGAGAGAGTAAAGTGGAAAGGCATCATCCTATCATTCCGATCTGGTTCTTCCATTAAACATTTTAAAATGTGTAATTACAAAATATAGTTACAATTCAAAATAAAAATATATTAAGAACACCAAAAGAAATAAATTAAGAGCACCGTGTAGTGAAATATGGGACCTAAAAGAATGCACCAATATTCACTTTGCATATATAGAAATTATAACATTAAGTGAAGAAAAGGAAAAAAAACTACACTTTATATGAAACTACATTATAAGATTGTAGACTAAGACAAATAATAAATGAATAATTCCATAAGAATTATAGCTCTGTTATTATATCTAGGCCAGAGGTACAAATGTGTTCCATTTTGTTACCAAAATATCAAAATCTATGATTGATAATTAAGAAAGACACATTTGGATTTAGAAAATGTTTCCGTAAATTAGTCCTAGCTCTGGAAAGGGCAAACTACTCAAGTGACGAATAGCTACAGTAGGGCGACACGAAGAATGCAAAACTAGTAATGCGAGGGATGTGTTGGTGGGACTTCTAACATAATCACAACGATGATAGGTTCTAATTTTGTTAAATAATGATGACTAACATAATCACAACGATGATAGGTTCTAATTTTGTTAAATAATGATGACAATGAAGACGAGAGAGGGTACGAGCTGACAAGTGGATGTGTGATAAAGGAACAGCGAGACGGTGGTTGCTACGGGAGAGCGAGCCGAGGAGCAATAGAGGAGCGGCGATGTTGTCTAGAACCTACTTTCTCTGTTAAAAAAAAATAACCTCGTACTACAACGAATATGTATATAGAGAAGCCAACCCCGTATTATAATTGAGTACATTCTAGTATAATAATAATGAAATTGGACGTTCTCGTATTATTATATCCAGACCTCTATAGTAGTTTAATTTTTTTTTAAGACGGAGGGAGTATTGCATGTGACCTCTGTGCCTCTGTCACGTCTGCCCCTCCAGTTACCACTAGTCCACTGCACGCGCCATCGGAAAGCCAGTACACTCGCTGACTCGCCTGACCCTGTCAAACGCCGGGCCGCGGACCCCGCCGGCCAGCCACTCCGCGCGGACTCCCCGACGATCCAGCCCGCGGCCGGCCTTCTCGTGTCCTCCGCCGCCTCCCCCGCCGCCGCCGCTCCCTCTCCTCACCTCACCACCTGTCCATCCAGCGCGCGCCCGCCCGCCCGCCTCCAGCTCACCCCAGCCCGGCACACGCAACGGAGTCGTCAAAAATGGGTGGAAATTACCACGCGACAGAAAAGGCCAGGAACATTGCGCGCGGCGGCGATCCCGCGAGATCAAAACCCCCCGCATTGCGCGTTCCTTCGTTTACCTCTCCCCCCCCCCCCCCCCCCCCCCCCGATATAACCGCGACCACCAGCCGATCGCCCTCTCCCCCCCTCCTCCCCCCTCTCCAACTCAACCGCGGCTGCGCCTCTCCTCCCTCCCGGTCTCGCTCACGCAGTCACCCGCACGCGTGGCGCCCACTCTCCCCGCGTGATTATTGGTCCCCCGTTTTTTTTCTGGGTGTAGCGGTGGAGTTGCTTGGGGAGGTGGGCTAGCGCGTGATCGTGCAGTTTCGGGGTGAGGGTTTGGGAGGGGGAGCGATGGCGATGACGGCGGCGGCGGTGACGGTGCCGCTGGGGGTGCTGCTGCGGCGGGAGGTGACGAGCGAGCGGATGGAGCGGCCCGACGTGCTGTGCGGGGAGGCGGCGCGCAGCCGCAAGGGGGAGGACTTCACGCTGCTCCTCGCCGAGGCCGGGGAGCGCGTCGCCGGCGACCCGTCCACCTCCTTCTCCGTCTTCGCGGTACCGCATTGCCCCTATGCACGCGCCCCGAATTCTGGAAGGTTCTAGAGTACCTCCGCCGAGTTGTGCGTGGCCTGACGACATGGAGGCCACTCCTGTACATGGCTGCCACTCTGCATTTCCTCTTTGTTCATTTGACTTGTCCACCTTTCTCTCGTCGACTACAAATTTTCTCAATTTTTTTTTGTGCATGCCGACCAATTCAGGTGCAAGCATGTGACAGTAACACTGCGCTACATATGCCCAGATGATGATCGTAGTTAATTTGATTCACACTACGTTACAGTGTTCAAACATGGACTGAACATGTCAAATAATTTTGTGTTGCTATGATGACTCCGATGCTGTCATTTGATTTGTTTAGTGGTTGAGTAGTCGTATTTTACTGGATTCCTTGACTTGCGTTGATCGATCATTGATAACTGTGCTCTGTTGATAGCTATTTGATGGGCACAACGGATCTGGAGCGGCCATGTACGCGAAGAAGAATCTGTTGAACAATCTTCTACGTGCCATTCCTTCAGGTTTGAGCAGGGATGAGTGGCTTGCAGTGCTTCCTCGTGCGCTTGTCGCAGCATTTGTCAAGACAGACAAAGATTTCCAGGCAGTAGGTAAATCAGGCCAATTCCTGTCAAGCTTACGACATTCAATATTTAAGCAGTACTTTGATAAAACAGGCAAACGTTGTAATCTTTCATAATCCATCACTATTTAGCGGTTTGTATTTCCATTTTGGACGAAGTGAAGCATGAATAAAACTTTTGCTATCATCACTGTTCATTGATTGGATGCCATATTATCAGATTTGTTGAACAGTACAATCTCATTATTAATGCTAAATGTAGGTGCAAAAATGCTGCTCTTCTTTAAGATGTCTTTTAGGTTATAGCCTTATAGGTACCTGTAAAGTTGAGTGATGCTTTTTCTCTTTACTGAAGCACTCTCTTTTGCTGTTTCAGCGGAAACTTCTGGTACCACTGTTACATTTGTAGTAATAGATGAGTGGGTTGTAACGGTAGCATCAGTTGGTGATTCACGTTGCATACTAGAATCTGCTGATGGTTCATTATACCATTTGTCAGCTGATCATCGCTTTGACTCCAACCAAGATGAGTAAGTTTTGCCTGCCTTTAATGTGTATTTTTAAAGAACTGCCAATATTTACAACATACTCTTTTTTCAGGGTTCAACGTGTTACTGCATGTGGAAGCAAGGTTGGGAAACTGAATCTTGTAGGTGGCCCAGAGGTTCGACACTTTCACCCTGAATCCTTTGTTTTCTTGAATTGGATATATAGTGTGGACGTGTTTTGTCCAAATTGCTGCTTTGATGATTCACATTGTTCACAGTAACCTGCAGCTCTTCCCAAGTTTTAGTTCTCAATTATCTGTGCTTTAATATTACTCCATGCCCTTGTTATGCTGCTTGTCAAACAATGTCCTAGCTTATGATATGATAGGTTAAATTTCTTTTTTTAAGACCACTTGTTTTCAAACATAAAGTAGTTCTATTTCAAAATTCTACTATTTTTATTATAATATTTTATTCTGTATAGCATTGAGGCATTGAGTTCTTGTGCATCTAAAGTACTAGTGTATTTATGAGGGATAATTCTTTATTTCTCAATCTTTTTAATTAAGACAATGTTTATCTTATCACCATTATGTAAGTCTGTAAATCCCTATATTAATTATCAAATTGTGTTCAATTTGTTGTGTGGTTGCCTGGTCTTCTTTGATCTATATGTATACTTTGCTGTAGTATTCTAGAAAATTGTCATTTGCGTTTACAGGTTGGTCCTCTAAGATGTTGGCCAGGTGGTCTGTGCTTATCTAGATCAATTGGGGATATGGATGTTGGTGAATGCATCATTCCTGTTCCTCATGTGAAACAAGTGAAGGTCAGCTCATTTGAAAATAATGCTCTGCACTTCATTTGTCTTATACTCTTATTGTTCCATCTATTATGTTTGCATGATTTACTGCTCATCAGATACCATAAAAAAAATTCTTCTTCAGGACAGTATCGCCTATAATATTTCCACCACGTTTGTAGTTAATGTGCCACGTGCTTTTAGTTATGATTTACATGTTTGCAGTTCACTGTCGCACTATTTGATTTTCTGTTGTGCTGCTGTTACAGCTATCCAATGCTGGAGGCAGGATTATCATTGCAAGTGATGGTGTATGGGATGATTTGACTTTTGAAATGGCACTTGAGTGTTCTCGTGGATTCCCATCAGATATAGCTGCCAATCGAATTGTGAATGTAACAGTCTGAACTTTATCACTTCCCTTCATGACAAACCTTTAGGCCTTCATTTTGTGATATATATTTTTTAATTTTGAAGGAAGCAATTCATCCTCGGGGACTAAGAGATGATACTACCTGCATCGTGGTGGACATATTACCTCCAGAAAAACTAGCTCCAAGTCCTCCCACAAAGAGGCAGGGGAAGATTGTATTCAATAATATGTTTCGCCGAAAACATACAGACGTATCCTTTATACTAGATCGAGAGTATGCTGAGCCAGATGAGGTGGAAGAAATATTTGACGATGGTTCCGCTATGCTTTCTAAAAGGTACTATGTTAACCAGCTTCTCATAACCTCTTCACTTGGAGTAGGGGAACTAAGAGCGCTATGGGTAATTCCAAGAAGATGCATATATGTTTTAAACTTTTAATGAACACTAGTAGGATATCTATTATTTTTGAAAGTCCATGCACACTCAATAGACACATCAACATAACAAAATGCTATTTAGTGCCAATTACTGCACTTTATAAATAATAAATACTGCATCGTGATGATGATGTTCTTGTGAGTATCAACATTCCACTGTAACAGGTTATATGGTAAAGAAACATACTTTTCAGTTAATGTAGGCCACAGAGGTCTTGGATTTATGATGATTCGTCATTTAGATCTGATACTAAATTGTCTTATGTGGACAACAAACATATCTTGCTGTCTGCTAAAGGTTAGTAGGATTTTAAGGAATTATTGGGAACATCACATGAGTTGGCAGTTGGCACTGCTGACTGATGGTGTCAACTATGCAACTCCATTTATGTTTCCTTGCACATTGTAGTCAATATTGTCTGCTGGTTCCTTTTCCAACCCCACTCCATTGGATCCTTTCTTTTTTTTTTCTCTGGTCGTTTAAGTATTGAATTATTGTTGTCCTGAAACCAGCCAGATCTGGTTGATACATGTTAATTCTTGGTCATAACACACTGCAGTAGTGTAGTACCTAATCACTTTTACCAAACCTTGTCAACACCCTTAGGCTGTGTTCGCCATTCCTTGTTCCCAACTGGAACAGTACGCACAGAAAACGGAACGGTCTATTTGCGCGTGATTAATTAAGTATTAGCTATTTTTTTTAAAAAAAGGATTAATTTGATTTTTTTTAAAGCAACTTTCGTATAGAAACTTTTTTTTTTGCGAAAAACGCATCATTTATCAGTTTGAAAAGCGTGCGCGCGGAAAACGAGTGAGAGGGGTTGGGAAAAGGGGTGCCAAACACAGCCTTAGATGGGTTTTATGAAAAACCAGAACGCATGAGATTTCTGGCCATTTACTGAAGCTAAAAGGTTATAATAAATAGATAACGGAAGTTCAGGGTTTGTTTGATATGCTACTCATTTGGTTATTGTTCTGCAGAACTCAATGCATTTCATCTCTTATCTCCTGAAATGATCAGGAATATATTTGTACTATGTTGGTATTTAATAGATTATTGATGGATCTTGTGTTATATTTTCTAGATAGGTTCAGCTAAAAGTTTCAAATCTTTCATTCATCTTTTCAATATCCTCAAACTCAGAACTGTTTGGTCTTTAATATGCAAAAAGAGAGTATTCCCATATTTCTTTTCGCTTGCATACCTTATAATGCCAGTTTTTGAGACATTATGGTGTTGATTTCTGACATTTTTGTTATTCAGGCTTGCTGCAGGTTATGCACTCCAGAGCATGTTTGAGCCCTTCAGCTGTGCAGTTTGCCAAGTACAGTTGAAAGCTGGCCAGGGAATTTCTGTACACAGCAATCCATTGCAACACGAAAAATTGCAAGGATGGCAGGGACCTTTCCTGTGCCAAAGCTGCAACGAAAAGAAAGACGCAATTGAAGGGAAACGACCTCCAAGAGGTATTGCTAATTCATTATGTTATTTTCTTGGTTCTCCGAACAACATTCTGTGTTTACAGCTAAAGCTGTCTTATGTAATCTTTAGATTACTGATTTGTTCTTCGATGCATTTCTGCCTATTCAGATTCTTGATCTACACTCTACAATAACCATGGTTTTGCTGAGTGGTGACAAGTGGCAGGCCCATTTGTTGGAGACATTCCTTCATACAATCAATATTCTTTTGTTCGTTACTAGAAACACTAGTCAAACCAGAGTTATTTTGCTACATTGTTCTCTGTAGTCAAGTAATACAAAGTATTCTTGGCAAAATAGATTGAAGATTTGTTAATTGGTTGGATTAACATAGCACTATCTAACAAGTTGGATTAACATAGAAAACAGCTTCTTGTTCAGAAGAGAATAGTAGAATCCTGAGCATGGCTTAGTTTTCCCATGCCATTTCAATGTATAGAAATCATTGTACAGCGGCCTACAGGATCACAAGTATTCTTTTGTTAATTTGTAGATGGATTGACTACTCTAATGGTTCCTAAAAGAAATACTCAATACTAAGTACTGACTGTTCGAGTTCTTCAGTTATTTCTTTTTTTCCTTAAGGACTCCCTGTACTCCAGATCTAACTATCGTACTACATCCTGTGAAAGGATCCATATAGCCTAGCTTGAAACTATCATCTACCCTGTCTCTCGCCCATTCTCCAGCTATGCTGTACTGCTTGGTCCCATGTGTACACACATCTTGGTCACTTGTGAAATTGTGCTATACAGATGAAGCAACTATTCAGATCACCCGGTTGTTAGTGCACTGTAAACCAATCAGAGTGTTTTGTACCATTGGGCAAGGTGTCCATGGAAACACCGGGACAGATCACTCCCTCCAGAGTCCATACTCCGGACGTTTGTCAGTTTGTCACTTGGTACATCCACCTTTTGTCTCCTCTGAACCAAGGAATTAAACATTGCAGATAAGAAAGCCAGCGACGTGACCAAGCAAAAGACCGGGCAACTAACCAACATGCCGCTACATATACACCTCCCCTGCCGAAACAACAGCTCACCCACTGGGATTTGCACGCGCCACCTGACGAGTGCAAGGCGAACCGGCCAGTAGCAGTGGACATCACATTACTAAGTCAAGCTAGTTAGCCCAGCTGATTACTACTACTTGATTAGTGCACCGGCCGGCCGGATCGCGTGCCTGGTCGAAATGAACAGCAAAAACGACGGCAAGTACGGCGCACCACCTTTTCTGGTGATGTGTTTAGTTATGTTCGTGACCGATGAGAATGCGTCATGATCATGTACAATTGGGATTTCTCTCAGGAAAGCTTTGAAAACGAAATGACATGAACAGATGGAGCGAGGCAGGCAGGCATGGACAGGAAGAAGAGCACAAAAAGATAAGGGTCCATCTATATGCCGCTGTGTGTTATGCATGCCAATCATAAGCCCGGCCGGTGCAATCAAACAAACCTGAAACTTAACCATGCAACCATGCATGTGACCTGGGTCACATCCTCCAGAGATGAAAAGCATGAAACCGTGGTCGGGGTGTTGCACTCACACAGTGCCATGCTATCTCTATCCCAGATAAATCCATTCATATTCCTACTCCAAGAAAATATATCAGTAGGAATGAGAAGACATCAAAGTGCAACACCCCCACATAAATCGGTTGTTACTCGTACTGTTTGATACTGTTTTTCTAGAAAGCTATTGCTATTTTGAAGTTTAGAATTTGATGTTAAAGTTGATTTCAGGGGTTTTTCATTTCATCTTTTCCATTGGGCAATCTCTAATTTTATAGGAGATGATCAGGTGCGCTAGCTGCAGCAGCAGCCAACAACCATTTACAATTACAGTTGCGACAACAAGATCAGCCGAACATACCCATGGTTGCTAAGGCAACGGCTAAGAAATCTATCTAAAATTATTCTTAAAAATCGCAATTCAATTGTTTTGGCTTTTTAGAACAAGTATTGACAAGCACAATTTAAGACACTGTTTCTGCGACTCTGCTTATACATTCTACAGTGCCATCCATGGACTCTAATTAATGGCGCCAGACGTTGGCTCGTGCATGCATGTGGGACGATGGCTTACTAGCTACCGCTGGAATGGTGCTTATGATAGCTACTAGACCACCAGTATAGAGGGTACAAATTTCTTCTTTCTCTTTGGTTTTTATATTAACTCTTTCGTAAAATATGAAGTCATTTATAGAAGAACTTCCAGGAAACCATTTCATCTTAATTTCTTCATTTTATCCTTACTAAATAAATGTGATTTCTCTTACAAATTAGTAACTCTCCCTTTTCATTACAATATTAATGCGTCCCTCTGTATTAATACGACATTGTTGAATTTAGTAGGTTGAACTTTTGAAACTTTATCTTTATCATCAATAGCTCTCAAAATATTTAGTTTGAAAATATAAAAATTATATGGGTAGATTTTTCTTTGTAACTGCTTTTACGATATTATAATTTTGTTAGCTATTATCATTATAATTCTAATAAAAACAGTGTCAATATATTTAAATACAGTGGTAGTAAAGGGCAACAAAGTCATGTGAATTTTTTTTTAATAATAAAAATGATTTACATATCCGATTTCTATCGTAAGGCACACCGCCATAAATTTCTTTAGAAAAGGAAAAAAAAGACATAATATGATGGGACACCCCCAACTCTCTGTTATTATTGACTAGCGTTAAATCACATGTACTCTAGAAATCAATTCGATCTAATGGAATTACCTCAGTTATAGTAGAATAAGATACCCTTGGTACCGCTTTTAAGAGTAGAATCATTGCACATAGTATCATGCTCTGAACATCGCAGATTAGACTAAAAGTGAGAGATTAAAAGTAAAGCCAATAAAAGAAATGAGATAACATGTATTAGGTTAGATAATTGTTTATTATTAAAAACTGTCATTACAGCAATATCAAATTGACCAATATAAATTATTAGTTTCAACTAAAATTATCTTTTTGATGAACCTAGTTATATATAACTCCACTAAGCCAATTATAAAAAAAATGTTTTCAGATTACAAGGTGGGGGATATTAAAAGCAAAAAAAAGCGCATAAACACACACACACATCTCCGAACAAAGCAACAAACATGAATACATGACATTTAAAGAAAAGAAATTAGATTATTTCTTGTGCAACAAAAACAATAGTATTCGTCCCAAAAACCTTTTATTTAGAATAATACGAGGTAATTTTGAAAGTACTACATCCGTTTCAAAATAAATCAATTTAAAATATGATGTGATATTTCTTATTACAATGAATCTGAACATCACATTCTAGATTCAAAGAGTACGCTACAGCTACAAAGGAAAGGCTATACCCGGCCAATCACTGAAGGCGCCGGCCGGCTACAGGGTTTCTCAACAGTATTGACATGTTGTTCTTGTCCACCATTCGATGGATCACAAATTAAACATTTACGACCAAAGACAATGGTTGTTTCAAACTTTTAATTGGTCGGTTAATCATTTGCTTTGGGTTGGAGGAGACATGGCATGATGGTCCATATGGAGCTACGGATACATGTACATGTCAATCTATATGCACACATTAAATGCCACCGGCCGGTTGAGGCTATACCAATTAGTGTATGAATGGGCCACTCCATATTATCACGGAATAATAACATGTTATATATCCCAGATTGAGGCATTCTGCTGTTAATTGATCGAGATGGGAATATCTCATATATGCATTTCTTTTCCTATGAAATCTTATATGCCTCAAGTGCATTTACAATTTCGGCGTTTGCAGCTCTGAGAAAGCTATATAATCTAGGATAATTCAGCATTCATTTTGTAGGCTTATATAATTCAGGATTCATTTTGTAGGCTTACAAATTATCACGTCAATCAAAAAATTCTATATTATTAGTCACGGTGGATTCAAATTAGTGTAGATCGGTCAATATATAGATGCATACAAAATATAATTGTTTTTTTTGTTAATGAACTTTAATCTAAATTTCACTTAAATTTGCACGGTTCCACTAGTTTGTTACAAATATAAAGAGATAAATAGCACACCAACTTAATTTGTATTAGATTAATGTAAAACATGCCTAAATAATATGCGTGCAAGAAAAGACAATATTATGCTAGAAGGTCCAACAAATAACAATGAAATATATACACGGTCCATCCAAAATACAAATATACTTTTTTATTACATGGTAATAAAAAAGAAATGTACATGCTGCCTCCGCCTCTTTTAGTGTGTTAGCACACTATGAATATAATATATATATATATATATATATATATATATATATATATATATATATATATATATGTGTGTGTGTGTGTGTGTGTGTGTGTGTGTGTGTGGCCGTGTTTGTAAGGGTGGGTGTACGTGTAAGGTTTAGTAGCATGGCCGATTACCGTGTTTCTTGTAACATGTCACATCAGCGTCCCTTTGAAGGAGGGTGCTTTCCTTCTTAAACATTATTTTTCACGTTGTCATCCATCAACTATTAATTCTACTAGATGAAACTCCGCGCAGAAATTTACTATGATAACAATAAGTAAAAATAATGTGTAGATAGCTTTAACAACCTAAGCTTACATAAATATAACTTTATATAAGCTGATGTGATTTAAATTTAAATAGTATGTAGAATGATAATTCAAATATAAAAATAAAATAATGTGGCTTTACGAGAGAACAAAAGAAGGAAGATAATTTGAACTATACATCTAAGGGCTAAAAAAATGAGATGATATGGCTTAACGAGAGAAGAAAAAGAAGAGAGATAATTTGAATAATAGATTAATTATCTAAGAACTAAAAACAATTGATATGATATGACTTAATGAGAGAAAAGAAAAATAACATGAACTAAGTGATGATGAACTATATAGGTATATAAAATATTATAAAAAAATAATGGAGAGATAAATTAAAATATTATGTGAATTATGTAGGATTGAACATGCTTATTTTAAATCTCTAAAATCTAATAAATTATTAAATTATAGATAATCTAGCATGCTTGCATGGTGCTTAAATATAATACTCCCTCCGTCCCAAAAGCCCTCAGGATTTGTTCTGAAATACTCTCTCCGTACTCGTAAAGGAAGTCGTTTAGGACAATGTTCAAGTCAAACCTTGAGAATATAAATCATGAATAACTCTCAAGTTGTTGAGTTTGAAAATGTAAGAATTATATGAATAGATTTGTCTTGAAAAATACTTTCATAAAAATATACATATATCACTTTTTAATAATTTTTTTATAGAAGCAAGAAGTCAAAGTTGTATTTTGGAGACCGTGTCGCTGTCCAAAACAACTTCCTTTACGAGTACGGAGGGAGCATAACAACTTCTCCACCAATATTCTCTCCCCAACCAATCACAATCCTCCATCATTCACTTTTCCCACCTGCATTTACTACTCATTCAATTACAACCCTCCACCATTTACTTCTACCAACTCTTTTAATAACCGAGTGCAAGTCTAAAACTTTTTATATTATATGATGGAGGGAGTAATTGTTAGTGGATGATGATGTGGCATCTTTACATTTTAAGCTTTAGAAATTAGTGGGCTATAACTTTCTAATAAGAGAGGATTACTGTGCACAGTGCTTATCTTCTCGTTCACTAGATAATTAAATTAACCATCAGACACCTCTCAATGCGGTGTTTCTAAAAAAACTAATTTTCTCTGGTTCACTGAATCACTTGTCCGTCCTCGGAAAAATTGTGTATATCTCAATCCATGGAAAAAAAATCCTTTTTCTTGGCTCCAACAAATATTGTTGAATGCCATTCATGGCTGGTTTTTTTTACGAACGCGCAAAAATAATTGTACGTCAGTATACTAGAAAAAAGTAAAGTTTTAATTACACAATGCAACAATCCAAACCGACCATTGCTGGATTACAAGAAAAATGACTGCGAGGGGCAAAAAAAGAAAAAATAAAACTGAAAGTTGTTACTCCTATATAAAGGGGCAAAAGGTGGTGGAGGAAACCCCCTATCCTCCCAACAATTCTTCAAACGAAGCTGCGCTAGCTAGAAACGAGAGACGGTCCTCCTTGAGGATGGACCCCAGAACTACCGAAACCAGCGAAAGGGATGACTCAAAAATCCTGACGTTCCGCTCTAACAAAACTGCCAAGATATTAGAAGGACCAGAAAGTCGAAACCCTTGCGAAGATGCTCTAGCAGGCACTAGACCTGGAGAGAGTCGCCACGGGAAGGAGTGAGCCCAGGCCAGTCAGGAGGAGACATGATACGGTGCCAAACTTGATGAGTGAACACATGATGATGTAAATGTGCATTCTAAGCAATAATTTTTTATGTTTTTCACTTGATAATTAATTAGTAGGAAAAAATTAAATTGGTGTAGTAATTTTTCTTCCGCTTAGCCAAATTGTCACCACTTAAGTTGGTGGGTGAGGTTTAACATAAACCTAGTTGTCACTACTGCATATAAATCCTCCAGATACGTAAGGACGGCCTGCTAGTGCTTCACCTTCACATATTGCACAAATTTAACCTCAGCTTCAGCTTCATCACTGCCAAATCGCCTCTCAAGCGCCATGCATCCCCCACTACTACAGCTGTCGACCTAACCTTGCCACCCAACTCTCCTCTCCCTCTCTCTCTCTCTCTCTCTCTCTCTCTCGCGCGCGCGCGCGCGCAAGCGAGCACACAAACCCTACCACGCCGAAAGCCATGACCATGAACACACCACGGCCGCGGTCGCAACCACCACCTCCTCATCCTCCACTGTTCAAGCCAACCACACCTCCCCCACCACCACTCCTCTCCACCTCCACCTCCACCTCCCCTCCCCACGACTTCTCCTTCGCCCACTACCTCTCCTCCCCGCCTCCGTCCGTCCAACGCCGCGGTCGCGCCGACATGTCCCGCACACCACCCCTCGGCCGCGTCGGCAGCGACCTCAGCCACAACAACTACTCCTCCAAAGCAAACCAGCACCGGCAAACCGGAAGCAGCAGCAGCAGCAAGGAGAAGGACAGGGAGTACAAGGCCAAGAGCAAGGCGTCGTCGCCTTTCTTCTCCGGCCTCGGCGGCTCGTGGAGGTCAGGCTTGAGCAGAGACGAGGAGGTGAAGAGGAAGGCGAAGGCGAAGACGAGAGGGCTGGACGTGGGGCAGTGGGTGAAGAAGTACATGGCGTCCATGGTGGAGCACCTGCTCGCCTCCTTCTCCCGGCACGGCGGCGGGGAGAGGGAGAAGCGGGAGCAGCAGCGGCGGAGGCCGCACTCGTTCTCGGCGCACGGCCCGAGCGCCCTGAGGGAGCAGCGGGAGCGGTGGAGGCGGCGGCGCGGGCAGCTCTCCTCGGCGCCGGCGTCGCTGCGCGCGTCGCCGGTGAACAGCGGCCACCTCTCCGTGGGCGGGTCGGTGAAGGTCTCGACGTCGTCGGAGGAGAGCACCATGGAGGAGCTGCAGAGCGCCATCGAGGCCGCCATCGCGCACTGCAAGAACTCCATCACCGTGGCCAAGTGAATCGATCGATCGAGGCTAGTGTGTAAAATGTAAAACTGTAAATGCGTGGTACGGAGATGCACATGTGCCGATCGCCATGCGTGTCGCGCGCGCGCGCACACGACACGTACGAGAGCATATATTGATCAGGTTTTCAGTAGCTTTTGCGAGCTTCAGAAAAAATCACAGATTCGATACTCTCTCTTGTTCATGTGTAAAGATGTAAGAACAGATGGATGACAATATTCAAGCGCTATATATACGGATAATATGTCTTGATTTGCAAGTTCTACTGCTGTAAATCCCTATACTGTTTGGAATTTGGCATGATGTTAATCAGCTGACTAAAAGTCATCCTGGCGAGTACTGGAATCTTTGGAGTGATGACCACTAGTTGCCGTCGTGCAATAAAAGCTTAGGACCGATTCTGCAGGCCACTTTCAGACGAAATGACGATAGTAACTCCCATGTTAATTATAATCTCTAATTATTCAATCTGACTACTCACCAGATATGACCGGTCGGCCGGCTGGCCTAGATTCCATTCACATTTTTACAACGAGGAATTCAGGTTGGTCCAGATACAAATAATTACACACGGGTTGACTGAGATAATCATCGAGATTTTGTTGCTAGCTAAGTAGCTATAGATACTTCGTTCCAAGTTGATTCGCTGCTTTTGGTTGGCGCCTAGTACAACCTTGGATAGTTCATTAATTGTTGGATCGTTCCAGGAGACAAGAGTTGCATGCGCACTGGCCCATCGTTTGACACATAGGAGTAAAAAGTGAAACGGTATATTTGTAAATGTAAAATAATTTGTGAATAAAACTTTTATATACGTGTTCTTAATGATTTAAAAGTAAAGACTGAAAAATAAACTACGATGGAGAAACCCTAAAATCACCTCCAAATTTAAGGTTGAAAATTTAAATTTTAGCTTATAAGCATAAGTATAAGCGAAAAGATGAGGCCAGTAATAAGAAATGGCAGTGCACATCCTGGCATCCATGTTGGAAGCCGTGTTTTAATACATTAAAAAAGAAAAATATATTCTATTCCACATAGTTGTCTCGATCAATTTAATAATTTACTACTGACGAGTGTGGATTTTAAACTCTCAAGGCGACGTCCCCTTATTACTTGCTGACACTCAAATAGCTACGAAAAAAAAGAAAAGATGTACTAACATGTGATATATCTCTTCACAAACATGCAACTTAAAATTCAACTTCTACAGTTTGTAGTTTAATTTGTTTTTTCGTTGTGACATGTAGAAGTTGATTTTTTTTGCCTCCTTATACAACATTAAAGTTTGTATATAAGTTTCAAATATTTTGCATTTCTATTTTGTAAAATATAATTTATTATTTTATGCTATATAAAACATTTTTTTTTGTTTTTAATGTAAATCATTTTTCACATGCTATGTATTTGTGCCATTAACTTTTGTATACGTAAATTATCCGTCATATAAAAAAAAACTTGAAACTTATCTACAAACTTTCTTGTTGTGTAATGAGGCCATATAAAAATTTTATATTTTTAAAATTTATAATGAGATAAATCGGTTTTTAACATTGTATGTCTCTAAGGGCATTTTGAATATATATATATATATATATATATATATATATATATATATATATATATATATATAAGTGGTCAATGCAAAACAATATAACTATAGAGCAGTTACATTGCAATTAGCATGTAACTACAATATAAAGTAACTTATATGTATCTTGTAGGAGATTGCTTTGCGCATAGAATCCCCTTGCTTGAGCACTTGTTATGTTTTTTTCTTTGCCCCCGTTTGCACGAATCTCGAAGCAAATCTAATGATGAAAAATTACGATCTAACTATGGAAAATGACGTGAAAATTGTATACATGTTATATTAGAACTACATTTAAGTTAGAATGTAGTTGCACTATAATTATACTGTATTTTATTTGATGAGAAGAAAAAAATTGTAGAGGGATGTATAATAAAATTGAAGAAAAAGTTGGGGGGCTTTGTGCAATATTTGTAACTAATAGGGCCCGCGTGGGACCGGAGCGATTACCCGCCATTGGATCTCGCGCAGCCGCAGCCCGCAGGCGTGCATGGTGACGAAAGATGCCCACGGCCGCACGCCGCCCCCCATCTCTATCACCTCCCACTCCAGCGGCGCAACCTCCCCTTCACCCCGACACCGGCGCCGGCGCCTCCCTCTCCTCAGCCATCGACCTCCTTGCCGCGCCTTCTGCGGCGGCTGGGGAATGCGGACCTCCGGCGCCGGCCCGCCTCGTTCCAGCCATGCTAGCCCGACGCAAACCCCGCATCGACGAGGCCATGGAGCCGTACGAGTACGAGAAGGTATGCAAGAACTTCGGTCTCGGTCGCCTGCCGTTCGATGCGAACTTCTCTATTTTCATAGCTCTACATACTGTTGTAGATTTTGCAACGAGAATCGATCGAGAACTCTCTGCTTCTGAATTTACAATGAGCGTATATGTGTTTTCCATCATAACGTTCAGGGGCTTCAAGGCATTGGATCGTACTAGTACCATCACAAGAAAGCAGATATCAAACATTTGTGTCTGAAACAGCTGTTGAATACTGAATACTTAGGTCTAGTGCATGATGCATTGATGCCAACGAACAACGTTGATTGCAAATGATCATAACCTGACAGTGGCAGTACTACTGTTTAGCTCACAAGTTTGCATCTGTGTCACTGTGTGCCAGAAAATTTGGAAATGGAGTAGAAAACTAAACTTGGAGGATGTCAGGACGTTTGGTTAGGTAGACTCTAGACTGTATAGCATTACCTTCAGAAGAAGACCATAAAATTCAGATGAGCTATTTTAGATGTGACGCAGAGTAGCAGACAATGTGCTTGGAAGTTGGAACTTCAGAACAAATTCTAATTATTGTATTGTATTCTTCAAGATGGGAAGGACAAATTAGTCTGGGGGCATATATATATAAAAGGAGAATTTAGTGTTGAAATTTAATCAGTTGTTGAAAAATTGTAACGCTGGTTATCACTATAAATTTTTGGTTAATAGAAAAAAGGAGTCCTTACAAATAAAGGATATGCTCTCAAATGAAGGGGTGGAAGCCTGGAAGGGAGAAATTTGGGCAAGAATTGGTGTTCAAAGCCTGGCAGACATTAGTCCGGTCACAGTGCAAGCCACTCAAAAGAGTTTCTCTAGCGGCTGGGCAACTCAGAGATTGGCCTAAGCAACCTCATCCCACAGTGCAGTGATGCACTTTGCGTGTCCACGCGCGGCGCGAGGTCACGGGGCGTCGGAGACAAGCCCTCCACAGCTCGCGGAATCAGGCGATCGGCGCCGCGCGTTACCCAGACCGAGCGAAGTTCTCCGCGTCCCTGCGTGGGGGCGAGTCGCCATCTTTAGTTACAACCGCGCGCAACACTTAAGCAGATTTCGGATGTGGCGAAGGAAGTAATGCGCCACGTCCTTGCACTGTGACCGGCCTTATCATTTTGCTTGGCATGCCATTTGGTTCACTAGAGGTACGTTTCCAAACTAAAAAACGAGGTTATTCCAATTTACACTTTGCTGATATGCAATGCGCAATGCTTTAAGAGTGTGTCTATATATATATATATATTTTACACTATATATTGACATGCTATGAAAGCTTCTGCTGAACAGTTGCTTTTTAATATATGCTCAATTTATCCCCAGGAGTATTGGTAAATATGAATTGCTATATATTATTAGTGGGAGTAGCTAGAGCGCAACCAAAGTTACTGCACAACTAGAGATGCCAAATATATGGAGATTTTGTTTCCGAGTTCAAAGTCTATACACCCTTTTCTGATGCTTTTCACACAAGCATTTTATTGCCTATTCTGAAATTATTTTCTGGAGACGGCCTATTCTAAGCTTCCCTTATTGATTTTCTCTGACAGCCCATGCCTTCTATCCTTTTCTTTTCAGTGATTCCAACCAGGAAAAAGTGCACCTAAGGTCCCTCAATTTATCACCGGGATACGAAAACGTCCATGAACCGTAAAACCAAATATGAAGGGTCCCTTAACTATACGAAACCGGTCACCTGAGGACCTTAGGTGGTTTTAAACCTGGTTTTGGTCTACGTGGCGGGTGAGTCAGCATGAGACCCACGTGGGCCCCACATGTCAGCGTGCCACGTCATCATCCCTATCTCTCTTTCCCCTCCTCTCCCTTCCTCCACGTCATCATCCCTATCCAGCGGTAAGTGGCAAAGCCGGCCGGCGGTTGGGGGAAGAGGTCGCCAGAGCGACGCGGGAAAGGAGGACGTCTGGCGGCCGGCGACGTGGCGGCGAGCGAAGAGACGGCGGCGGCGGCTGCGGCTGCGACGAGGGCGGAGCGGGGGAGGAGCAGCGCGCAGGCGGGTGAGGAGCGGCGCAGCACGCGGGCGGGGGAGGAGCGGCGCGGCGCGGCGTGCAGGCGAGGGAGGAGCGGCGGCGGCGACGCATGTCCACGGCACCGGCTGAGTCGGCGGCGGCGGCTCCGGGCAAGGATAGGGTCGCCGTCGCCGTCCGTCCTCTTCTCCTCCACGGTCGCGGCGTGAGCGCGAGACTCTCGGCGCGGCGGTGCTCATGGTCTCCTCGTCAGCGCCAAGGACGGGGCGACCACGGCGGCCTCAGTCCAGAGCGGAGAGACCGGGGGAGAGTGGAGGCCGCCGCCGCCGCCTTGCTCCCCCCTCCGCCGCCTACGCCTTGCTCCTGGTCGCCGGACTCCACCCGCTCCCACCGCCTCATCCTCGGAACCCACACCTCCGACGAGAAGCCCAACCACCTCTTGCCCGTTGACGCCGCCCTCCCGCTTCCGCCCCGCCTGGCGCGCGCGTTGGATGCGGACGGCGGCATTTCCTCCGCTGGCGCGACGCCGGCCGTCGGACCTCCTCCTCTCCCCTCCCCCCGGCGGCCTTCTCCCCACAGCGCTGCCCGTCGCCGGCCTGGGAAAAGTGAGAGAGAAAGGGAGAAGAGGGGGAATATGAGAGAGGTGATGAGGTGGCATCCTGACATGTGGGGCCCACGTGGGTCCCATGCTGACTCAGCCGCCACATAGACTAAAACCGGGGTCAAAACCACCGAAGGATCTCGGGGGACCGGTTTTATATAGTTAAGGGACCTCTTATATCTGGTTTTACGGTTCGAGGATGTTTATGTATCCCGATAACAAGTTGAGGGACCTTCGGTGTACTTTTTCCTTCCAACAAAGCTATATGTGATAAATGGGCTTCTCTTTCCTTTCTAAACTAAGGTCAAGTGCAGACTGGGCCTTGTAGACACAGGCGTTGGGCCTTACCATGGTAAGCTTCTCCCTTCTTCTCCCCTTTGCCCTCAAGCTCAAGTTTTTTTTTTTTTGGATTATGGAGGAAAGTTAAACAAAATCAAGCAACACAAGTTACAACTGACAAATCACGCAGAACACGTCTAGTCTAAGCACCTGAACAGCTGAACACAATGTGGTGGGCAACTGTTAAGCAGTCAGCTTGACTGGTTACCCGGGTCCTAACATTCCAAGCCACAATCCGACCAAAATGACCCCTAAGGTACAACGTGCCGCAGAAGAGCGCAGAGATAGCACCTGGCCCTTTCAGCCGCAGCAGCCTCCTCCTCCCAGCTGTGCGCTGCACCAAAGATACCATTCAAATCAGAATTCAGAGGGAGAGATTTTCAGGTCTCTCTCTAAAAAAAAAAAAGCCAAAAGGATTCAGAGATGGAGATGCTGGGAGTGATTTTTTCAGGTTTCTCTCTCAAGAAAACAAAACGATTCAGAGATGGAGATGCTGTGGTCGCATGCACGCAGATGCAGCAGCAACTGGCCCCCCCTCTCCCTGCCCCTGCGATGAAAATTTTTTTTCCTGATGTGCTGGGCAGTGCAGTGCAGTGCAATGCAGTGCAGGGATTTGTTTTTGTCCTGTGGCCACACCTTTGCTGTCAGAGAGTGCAATGGCAGGGGAGATAGCGGTACTCGTCCAGTATGTAATGGAGATGGATGGCTGGTAGTAGCACGATTGACAGCTAAGTCTCCTCATAAAATTTAACATTGTGCCGGTGATCACCAGGTAGGGGAGGAGGAGGAGGAGCTAGCATTACACGACAGGGAGGGAGATGTGCTAGGGCCCTAAGGGCGTGTTTAGTTGGGGAAAAGAAAATTTTTGGGTGTCACATCGGACGTTTGACTGGATGTCAGAAGGGGTTTTTGGACACGAATGAAAAAACTAATTTCAGAACTCGCTAGGAAACCGCGAGACGAATCTTTTGAGCCTAATTAAGCCGTCATTAGCACATATGAGTTACTATAGCACTTATGGCTAATCACGGACTAATTAGGCTCAAAAGATTCGTCTCGCTATTTCCCCATAACTGTGCAATTAGTTTTTCTTTTTATTTATATTTAATACTCCATGCATATATCCAAAGATTCGATGTGATGTTTTTGGAAAAAACTTGTTAGGAACTAAACGGGCCATGAGGCCGGCCGCGTCAGGACAAGCTGCTCGATCGACTGCTGGCTGGCACCCCGGATAGACTAATGCTTGAACGCCTGGCTCATCAGATGCATGCCACTCGCTGGCTGGCACAATATCCATATATAGCGGTAATTGTGTTCTCGCCTATGCTCTTAGATGCAATTGTTACTCTGCCTATGTTTTTTAAGGTTTATAATTTTAACTCTTATTTTTTTTAAAACGAACCAACTGTTTGCCCCTAGTTTCGACCAACCAACTAGCTGTTTTGTCTCTGTTTCGTTTTAAAAGAAGAAGGGTTTGCGTCCAAAAAAAATTTGCGTCAAAAAAGAAGAAGGGCAAAATCATAAAAAAGAAAACAGAGGTAAAATCATAATTGCATCTAAAGGTTGGAGGCAAGAACACAATCTCCCCATATGTTGTATATGGTCACTGAATTCTCAAGTGTCTTTGTACCATATGTCCATATAGTCCCCACTGTACGTTCTCTCCATTCTTCTTTAATTGAACCATATCTTGCTTGAATACAGGCCAGGCTTGCATTGCCTGATTTGAACATAGTACTAGTTAGCTCCATGACTGTTCAGCAATTGATGGAAGCTAATTAACGTTGAAATGGGCTTCATTGAACTGAAAGCTTGAATTGCTAGCTACTACTAGATTACAAGCATTTTTGTACATAGGGAAAGTGGGGGAGAGAGCGGAGGTGGCGGAAGCAGACAAGCATGGGAACAGCTAAACAACACGTACAAAAGCTAAGCTAGGACCACACCATGTGGGGAAAAATACATTTTTACTGGCCCTTCCAATACAAAACATCAGAGGCGCAGCGGAGTTAATTTGACTACACTGGAACCACCCATCTACCCGACGACGACCATTACCCAAAAACTAGAGATCAAAATTCCCTTTTACACCCAAAAAAGATGCAGCAAAGAGGTAAAAGGAAATGGCCATTTGCCCTGCAGAGTTCTCCATTAGAATGAGCTGCTAAGATCATCAGCAAGAGTGAATATGAGTGATGGCAGACAGCAAGCTGAAAGGCGCATCGCCACCATGCATCCGATCTGGCCAACCATGGCTACTTCAGTTTCACTACTACGTAGTACTCATTGATCAGTAATACACTTCATTGCGTTTGTTGCTTCAGTCTCTCGTGCTCCCTTGACCTCCAAGATCCTACAGGGTTTTGCATACATTTTGTTGTCACTTCAGCAGGAAAATGGTTAACAATGCATGAGTAGTTGTGCCGCTAAAATTTCTGTGCAATCTGGTTCTGGTGGTTAGCAATGCATGAGTAGTACATGCATGCAATGCACATCTATCTCAGGCTCCAAACTTTGAGAAATCTTTGAAGCAGAAAGTGCTTGTACTCTACTGCGCAGGAGGGTCTTGCAGCAAGCAGGGTGTTTTTGAAGATTCGAAAAATGTTGCAATGCGACAAGCAAAATGGGACAATGCAGAGCTGTAGCAGAGTGCATTCATGGCGCAAGAAACAGTGAGCTTGTTATTACCATCTGGGTGTCGGCCGACGACGATGTGGCGCCGGCGGCAGCGTCGGCGGTGGGGGCCTTCTTGGGCGCCTTCTTGAGGCCGAGGAACTCCTTCCACCGAATGTTGGGCGCGCGGGGGACGCGGCCATGGCGGCTGTCCGTGCGCAGCTCGTCGCGGAGCGTGAGTGGCCGGCCGCCGGCGTCGGCGCCGCCGTGGCCGTGCGGGGCCTCCCGGAGCGGCAGGAGGCGGCCCTTGGAGATCAGCTGGTCGGCGGCCATCATCGGGTGGCTGCCGACGGAGAACTCGAAGTCGGCGTCCCCAGGCGCCCGCACCGCCGGCTGCTGCTGCGCCGGCGGCGGCGGCTCGAGCGCGAAGTCGCTGGAAAAGGATATCCTCGGCGCCATGAACGACGACGACTGGTGGTGGTGATGCTCCGGGTTGTACATGTTAACACATGCCATGCATCGACCCCGGCCGGCACACGCGCCCTCTCAATGCCCCGCCCGTCACAGCGATGATCTCGTGTAGCTGGCTAGAACTAGAATTAGCTCGCCGGCTTTACTACGGTGGCCAAGCTATGGAGAATGTGGAGGGGTGGGGTTCCGGAGGGGGTTTTTATAGTGGAACGGATGCTACGGCCGGCGTGGGCGCGTGCAACCGCGTGCATGGGACGGGGGGGGGAGAGCTAGCAGTAGCAGGCGGAGGGGTATAGCATCTAGATCTGCCCGGCGCGCGGGCGCGTGCGAAGCCGTGAAGGGTGGAGGGTGGTAGCCGCGGCCGGCCGCGCGGGCAGGCGGAATGCGTGGATACTGGATGGGCTCGGCGGCTCGCTGTACTTTGGACGAAACGCATTGGGAGCAATGCAAATTTTTTATCAGCCCAATTTAGCTCTCTCGCTTGACCGACTCTAGCTTGGCGCCATTCGGACCAGGCAGGAACAGTGTTAGAAAAACATGTGATATAATCAGTTTTAAGTTACTGGCTAAATACCCGTGCTTTACTATGAAAAAAATATAATGTATTAATATGTTATCCATCTTTTTTTATAGAGAATATTCATGTTAATTTTTAATATTAAGAAGTTTAAAGGGTAATATGTAAAATTTTCAGTGGCGGATTCGCTGTCTCTATCACTATCTTCTTTTAAGGTAGTATAAAACCATTTACAATCATGCATCTGATTTGTCAAATTTTGATTTGCTTGAATTCTCCACCTAAGCATTTGATTGGGTGCAAAATGTTTGAATTCTCATGCATTGAAATCAGTTCTCTAGAAAAAAAAGTACTTATATTGTGTATGAAATTTAAATATTATAAATGCTTATATTTTGAAACGGGAATAGTAGCTGCTTTGCCGAAGAATTGGGGAACTTCATGGCCTTCCAATTACCTTGCAGAACAGACAAATATTCTTGCACACATGTCGTGCTAGCTACCGGACCTACTAGTTCACGACCGAGAGCGCGGTCGATGATTATCAGTTTATCACACTTAATTTGTTCCCAGGTTGCATATAATTTGGGCTGTTTGTCTTGACGCATGCACACACAGACACAGCCCTGCCAAGATGTCCATCAGATCTCAAGCAGAAATCTTGCACACCGTGACAATTAGCTAGGTTCAGAGAAATGGATAGCATTGGAGGGAAAGCTAGATGCCTGGACAAAAACTTGCCAAAAAATATTGCTTGACAAGAGCATAAGGCACATGCATGACGATAATATATATCCCTGGGTGCAAGTGGGAGTGCACTCGCTTGCAGCCTATGACCGACACACTACATTCTCTGCAACGCCTTGGACACCTTTCCGGTTTTCCTATGCCCATGTCCCGCCTAATAACGCCGTAATTGTGGCCGGCATGTGAAGTGCAGGCTAGTACAGTGTACTCTGAATAGTGAACACTTTTATGACCAAGCCAAACTTTGTTTATGCAGCGCTGACTGACCCGACTACTGGGCTGGGACTGCGAGATATGTCACGACAGTTCATATATATTGATAATTTCAGAAACACTTGTTGGAGCATTTAACGTCATCGACTCCTTCGAACGGCGAAGAACCTCTTCATTTAGGCGAAGAATGGCGCCCGCGGTACCCCTGGATAAAAAGACGCAAATGTTAAGGAATGGTCTAATTATTATCAAATAATTAGAAGAGGTAAAGTTTCGAATTCAGGTCACCTAGCCCATCACCTATGGAGCTAGCCAAAAAAATTCCTGGGCGTTTCTCGCGATACCCCTGGATCAATGTAGATTTCCAATAATCACGGATGAACCAATATATAATCCATGTTTAATATATTTTTATGGTCAAACTGGTCTAGGAATAAAAAAAGTCCAAAAAGAAATTTCTTCTGGAGCTTATCGTTGATCTCCTCCGTGCACCAGTCACCGAACTCCTCTAGGGCTATGTTGGTCACCATGCCCCTTGCTGTCAGTGGCGGAGCCAGGATTTTATACTTGTGGGATCAATTACTAGTGGTTTATATTTAAGTAAGATTATTTCTCTAATTTTTTTGGATTTATACATGAAAATCGAGGTTTATAGGGTGTTTTTCAAAAAGCTGTGGGGTCAGCCGACCCCACAGAAATGGCCTAAATCCGCCACTGCTTGCCGTGCCGATCGCCAGGCCAGCCCGTATCCATCGACGCGATGATCTATCCCTTCTTCAGATGAGTCGGTTATCACGTCCCCACTCCCCCCTTGTCTGACACATCGGTCATCGTGGCCCTCCCTTACCGAGCCACTCGCTGCCATCAACGATCAAATCTAGTGGCCATGAGCTTGTTGTCGCTAGATCCTGCGGTTTGGCATCTAGAGAAAGGGAAGGAAGGGCGACGTAACGGCAATGATGATAAGGGAGAAGGAAAACAACGGTGGTGGTGACAACGGTGCCTCTCGATCTTCTAGATAAGATATCCTCCTAGTGACAAGAACTCGTGGGCACCAAATTTGGTGTTGGCAAGCTCTAAGGCATTGATCGTGGCCACTCGCTATAGCTGCTGAAGAAGAGGGCGAGGGGCTCTAGGCAGCAAATGGGGACGACAAGTCGACAATGAGTTGGGTGGCCATGAGTGAATAAACGGGAGAAGGAGGTGACTAAAAGCGCTATCCCTCTTGCATCCTGCATTAGCCCGTCCTCGCACCCAGGACTCACATGTTTTCCTACTTGTACGAGCGCGTCCTAAAGCAAAACCCGCTCCATATTTCTAGTGGGCATAGCTTGAGAGGTCATCTTGCACGACCAAATGCCGTTGCTTGGACTCGCGTCTATGAGCCATTTTTTATGTAGGCAACCAAACATGCCTCATACTGATCTTGTGTAATGGGTGTTTCACATGAGTTCAACCAATTCCTGAATCTGTCATCACCGGCTGCTGAAGGAGTAAAGAACTGTCAGGCAAGTGCTTTTGCTACTCTGCTGTGTAGGTAGATAATCCCTCCGTCCCACCATAAGTGCAGCTTTACACTGTTCATATATAACGTTTGACAGTTTGTCTTATTTTAAAAAAATTATGATTAGTATTTTTGTTGTTATTAGATGATAAAACATGAATAGTATTTTATGTGTGACTAATTTTTTTAATAATTAAATAATAAGATGAACAGTTAAATGTTGAACACGGATACCTACAAGGCTACAATTGTACTAGTACTTATTTTGGATGGAGGTAGTACTAGCAAGATGTCCGTGGGTGTACAGAGGGCGCTATCTACAGGAGGCAGTACGTTACATTGACTGGGCTTGGACCGCAAGTGGATAAGCTGAGGGACGTGGACAGCTCGAAAAGACCACGTGATCCTGAGTAAGATCCTCCTCCCCTCCAACCAGTACGTGAGCCGACCAGTGAACAGTACGTACTACGCCGCTCACATAACACACACACACACTCTCACAGCAGCTGGTCGCTATCGCCCGGGCTCCCTGCATCAGCTTCCCATCCACCGTCTACCTGCAGCTCTGCAGCTATAGCTACGTATAGTACACTGCAGCTGCCGCCATGCGTACTATACGTGTGCAACTGCACCATGCTGCATGCAATGAGCCTTTCAATGGCCGTCCGTTGCATACATTCATGTGTACTCCGTACGCAGCTAGCAAGGACCAGCTGGGAGATGCCGATACCGTCACATATCATTCAGTTTTTGTCCCGTGGTTTTTCTCACTTTCTGGCCAGCCAGCCATCCAGCCGGCTACTACGACGACGTACCTACTCCATCATATCGGATCTGATCTCCTTCCTTCAGTACGCACGTACTAAATTATACTGTGTACTTAGCCTCTTGTACGTATATGTTCAGCATTCATCATCACAGGAATATAGGATGATTAATCCTACGGTGTAGTACTACTGCAGACTATACAATGTTTCATATATATGCACGTGGCTGAGCTAGCGGTTGTGGGTTCTCAAAACTCGAAAACAACAGTGGTTCTCCCTGACTTTTTACCTTGTGGCTGCTGCATGCATGCACGATTAGCATCTTTTTTTTTTTGAGAAACGATTAGCATCTTTTACTACCATCATTGTTTTTTAACAGATCACATCGTTAAGTTTCAAACACATGTTCACTGGTTTTTTCATTTTTCCTTTTGTGAAAACTTATTTTACGAACAAACCCTAAAAAATGGATCGTTTTTGCGGCGCCAACATCATTAGCGTTGTACTCCAACGTAACGGCGCCGATGACATCGGCGCAATCCTCTTAGCCTCGTTGGAGAAACTAAGTCACTCATACGAGGGGGTGGTGCCAATGTCATTAACACCGAGCACCTATTTGCAAAAAAAGTTGAAAAAACTTATTTCTATAAAAAATAGTTACAAATAGGTCCTCGGTGCCAACACCATTGGCATAAATGACCTATTTGTAAATATTTTTATTATAAATAAGTCTTTTTTTACGAATAGGTCTTTTTCAAGTTTTTTTTTAAAAAATAGGTCATCGACACCAATGACGTTAACGTCGTGAAAATGGTCTATTTTCAGAATAAGTTTTTCAGTCAATTTGTAAAATAATTTTTCAAAAAGATCTAAAATGCAAAAAAAAAATCAAGCACACGTACATACTATCATTCGTATTAGTCAAAAGTTTTGTGCAAATGCATAAGATATGAATTGTGCTTAAAGTACTGTTAGCGATAAAACTAATCACAATAAAATAAATTATAATTACATATTTTTTAAAAATAAGATAAATGGTCAAACGTGTGTCCAAAAATTAAGAATGTAATCTACTGAATGGATAGTGTGATCCGGGCACCTGCAGGGTGCAAACTATCCACTCCTATCCTATGTGGACGTGAAGATTCTGCTCCACGATCATCACAATTGTGGTTGTTAACATTTTCGATCGACTAGCATTGTGGTGTGCATGCAAATTAAGGTCCAGGCGTGATGCGTGCGTGCATGAACCCCTTCTGGGGAGATGTACGTGCCGGAGAACGCGTGGTGCCTTTAGTACTCGGTCCCTGGTCAAAACGGGAAGAATAAATGGCTTGTACAAGGTGAGGAGAGGATCGTACTGTGTGCTCTCTCCCTCCCTCTCTCTCTCTCTCTCTCTCTCTCTCTCTCTCTCTCTGCAGGAGTACAGGAATTATAACGTGCTCGACCTTCTCCACGCGCCGTGCTCTCCGCGCGCGGTTAATTGTGTGATCGGCAACCGTGCATGCACGCGGCTGACCCGGCGCCGGCGGAGGAGCACGCGCGCGCGACGCGGGCGCACGGAGCCCAGGGCACTGTGCGTGTCCGACTGTCCGGTGGCGCGCGCGGGCGCGGCCCTCGCGCCAGCCAGCCATCGAGATCGTGCGCGCATGCACGCCCTGCTGCTTGCCCCGGCGCCAACGCGCGATGCTT